GCCTCACACACTCCTGGTCTACCACTTAGCCACTAAAACTATCTTGCAGACCTGATAACCACAGTGCATTTGTGTTGATCAACTTCTGATTGGGCTAAGAGATGCCCAGGTGGTTGATAAGTCATTGCTCCTGGGTGTGTCTGTGAGAGTGGGTATTAGCCAGCCTTCCATTGCTGCAGGAAATTAACTTATGGATAGAAAAGGTCTGTTTTTATCTAACAATTTGGAAAGTTTCAGCCCATGATCATAGTTTCAGCCTTACTGCTACAGATGAGGCAGCAAAACCACTAACTTCACAATCCAAATAGCAAGAGATAAAGAAGAAGCGCCGGGGTATGGTGAAACACACCTGCAATCAAAGCACTCAGGGGGCTAAGGCAGGGGACCACAAGCCTGAGGTTAGCTGGAGCTACCTGGCAAGCCCTCGGAGGAGGAGGAGGAGGAAGTAGGGAGGTGGACGGAGAGGAGGAGGAGGAGAAGGAGAAGGAGAGAGAAGAAATAGCCAAGAAGCCACAATTCCCTTCACAGCATGCCTCTACTGAGCTAAAGCCTCTCATTAGGCCAAATGTCTTATGGATTCTACCATCTTCCAATAGCACACCCTAAGGTCCAAGCCTTTAATATCTGAGACTCTCAGGGACATTCAGGATCTAACCCACAGCAGGATATTTCTAGATGCGATTAGCACTTGACTCAGTGGACTCAGTAAAGAAGATCCGCTCTCACTGTGTGGCTGGGGAGCATCTCATGCCTTGATTGGCCAAGCAGAACCAAATTCCAGAGGTTGCATGAACTTGCTCTTGCTACCTGAGCTGAAAGCCCAGCTTCTCTGCCCTTGACGTTGACACTGCTGGCTTTCAAGCCTGATTCCAATAAAAGCTCAGAACACTGGCTTCCTTGAGCCCTGGGTCTTTGGAATCAGACTGTAACTACAACAGGTGCTTTCCTGGGTTTGGCATGCTGAGGGCAGACTGTGGACTCCTTGGCCTCCATAGCCACATGAGCCAATCCTCAAAACAGTGATGCTTCCTACACATCTGATCACATCCTATTGGCTGTTTCTCTGTGGCGCCGACTTCAGTCCTGCTTCGCCAGCTCCCTCGCTTCATAAATTCACACGGTGGTGGCAGTGGAATCCTGGACACAGTGCTTTTCCTAGACGATGGTTAAAACTCACTTTTTATGTAAAAATCCCTGCAAGTCTCTAACATCTGAAGGCACAAATGGCTCTAATGTAAAAAGCAAGCATCTTCATCAGTTATCCTCCGGTCCATCCGTTTCCTTCCCCCAGACACATCCCACAAGCTTTTAAAAACCCACGCCTGTGGCCAGCATTAAAAAGCCAGATTTATCATATACATTGAAATTGGAACTTTTATTTAAAATAAGGGACTGGGAAATCTGGCAACACTGGGCCCCTAGTTCTGCACACCAACACTCAGGGGCTCCCTGGGGTCTCAGGGGCCCCCACCTGTCACCTTTCCAAGCAGTGCAGTACCACCACAAACTGCTGGCTCATTCCGCTCCCCGCTTGGTTGACACGGACTCAGGGCCAGGTAAGAGCTGTCGGTGATTTAAGTCTCTACTTAAAACAGTAGTAAAGCGGGCAAGGGGCCTAAGCCTTCAATCCCAGCATTCAGCAGGAACCAGAGGCAGGCGAGCTGAAGGCCAGCCTGGTTTGCACAGTGAAACCCTGTCTCAAAAAAAGAAGGAAGAAGGAAGGAAGAAAGAAGAAGGAAGGAAGGAAGGAAGAAGGAAGGAGGGAAGGAAAGAGAGATGAAGAGATCAAGAAAGAAAAGAAAACCAAGGTAATTACAGACTGCCTGGCATGAGCTGGGCACAGGGACTGTCCTGTGGTGTCTCTGTACATCGTCAGCCAGCGCTGATGGTCATCTGAGCACTTCCATGGCACCAGTTTGTTGTACTGAGTTTGTTAACTGTCTGGCTACCTCCACTAGAGCACTGTCATGCTCCCCCCCCCCCCGGACATGAGCTCTGGTTTATACAGCGCTGTGTCTCTGACATTACCTCACACTGATGATGAGAACACTGAGAAAGAAGACCAAAGCTCTACAGAGTGGGAAGACAGACAGTGTGGGGAAGGACGCTGTGCTTCCCCAGAGGGCGTCACCTGAGGGCTGATCCGACTCAGGGTGTGATGCCTGGCCATAGTGATGCCACAGAGTACTGTGCAAGACATGGACCAGTCACAGAGCATGTCAGAGCTCAGCTCACATTCCCACCATCTCCTAGTCCCTCCAGTGACCAGAAGAATGCACAGCGAGACACAGCCAGGAGGAACCCCAGCAAACGTGGCCTAGGCAGAGATCGTGGCCTAGGCAGAGATCGTGGCCTCTTGCCTTTTTTTGCCCCACAACATCCAGTCTGTTTCACTCAGGAAACCATTCTTGACTGTCTTAACGTGCCAGACACGGTCCTACAGGTAAGCATAGAGATAAGTCTTAGCTGGGACAAGCGGCACAGACATACAGCATCAACCATCGTGCTAAATATGTCGTGAAATATGTTCAGTACTGAAAACAAAGTGGTTGTGTGGGTGAGCTTCCGCGCCCCTGCAGAGGCAAACCCATCAGCCAGGGACAGTCTGTGCAGAAAACACCACTGTTAATTACAGTCACCATGCTCTGGGAACGTCTCCGGTGACATCTTGCTCCTACCTGATGCTTTCTACTCTTCGGTCAACATCTCTTCATTCTCCACCCCTCAAGTATATGCGCTGCTTTTTATTAAAAGGGCAGTTAGGGGTCTCCGGTGAAGGGGGCAGGGTAAATGTGGTTAGAAATCTCAAGGCATCAAGGGGTAGCCGTCTGCGTCAGAGTCACCTCAAGCCAAGAGTAAAACAGAAGTCAGGGAGGAGGGTGGCTGGGGTCTAAGAGGGGGTGCAGCCAGCAAGCAAGGGGCCAGTGGGAGGCTGAGCGCCGATTTTCTGTGGGTTTGCATTTATGTGCAGCTTGGGACCTTTTTCGAGAGCATCTCAAAAACGTCCGGGAAGCACTGCCGGCCTGCCGGAGGCTGCCTGTCATTCCATCGTAACTAAATACTAAAGTTCCCCGACAGGGAAAAGGCCAAGTAGGTTACCTACAGTTGCCCGGGGTTTCCAAGCCCAGGGCTGCCCAGTTGTGGTGCAGGAAGCCCTCTGGGTCACGTCCACATTGATTACGTGGACTTGGGCAGCAAGATACTCATTTCTCGCTGTCCAGTGAGGAAGAAAGTCCTTCGTCTCTGGATGTGGAGACTCTTGCCTTATGTGACACCCTCGAGCGGCAGACTAACTTTTAAGAAGGACCAAAACCCTTCACCATTCTTGGGGTCAATGAGATGACGGCATGGGTAAGGGTGCTTGCGGACCGAGCCGGATGACCTGAGGTTGACCTTTGGGACCCACAAGATGCAAGGGAGAAGCAACTTCTTAAAAATTGTCCTCTGATCTCCAGATGCTTGACACACACACACACCAAATGGGGGAAGGGACAAGTCCAGAATAGCCCTTGGGGCAGACCTTCAAACGATAGCAAGTGATTAGTTGGCCAAAGGAAGTGAGAGGCAGAGCTCGGGGTTTCTGGTAACCCCCCCTCACATGGCCACACCCCCACATGGCCAATTCAGGGTTTTACAGAGAACCTCGCCTCCCTGGCTGGCTTTGTAAAGGGCCTCAGGCCTACTTCCTTGGGGTGTCGATCTTGGGCTGGAAGGAAACACCTGGATGGGACAGAGCAGTGGGAGCAGCAGCATTGTTCCCAGGGAGCCTGGCAGGATCTGAGGGTCCTGGATGCTGAGGGACCACAGGAACTGAGGCCTGGACTCTGTGCACCTTTCACATGCCATAGCCAGGTGTCCTGGAAAAGGCGTGAGGGCATTGTAGCCGGCCTGGGAGGGGCGGTGAGGCCGCACATCTGCCTGGAGTCTAACCTAGTCTATCACTGGTGCTATTATAACTAGCTTATACCTCTCGGCCTCCATTTTACCTTATTTACTTACTTACCTTGCCTGGGATGGAAGCCGTGGGCTCTGCGCATGCCAGGCACCATGCTACTACCGAGCTGCAGCCCCCAGCCCTCCTCACCTTTAAAGGGGACACCGTTGCGACACCTGTCACACAGGACGGGCATGAGGACGACGCCAGGTGATAGATGAGGCCTGCCTGGGCCTAAATCAGTGAATGGGGACCGTGCCACGCTGGTGTCCTTGGCAGCTCTATGCGTATTTCACTACACAAAGTCCCCAGCAATCTGTTCCCTTGTCCTAGCTCATATCCCGGCTGTCCTGCCTCTGGGGTTTGCACACGGGACTCTCTCCCCTAGCAGTGCTCCTGGGCCTCACCTCTGCCTACAAGCCCTCTCTGCCTCTGAAGCCCACTGTGCTGTCACTCACCCTCTCCACATCCGTTCTATATTCCCAAGTCTCATCTCACTAGAGACCTAGTGCCTTTCACTACCGGTGTCAGACACCCAAGGCTCTCTCTTAGCCCCTGGAGCAGGAGGCCAACATCTCAAGAGCAGAGCCCCCACCCCTGCCGTGTGTGTGTGTGTGTGTGTGTGTGTGCGTGTGTGTGTGTGTGTGTCGACAGTCACTAATACCCAGAAGAGAGATGGGCAGATGGTGTCCCCGGAGCAGCAGACAGGGATTCAGGGATCTCTTAGGGAGTCTCCCGGGACTCATCCATTCTGCAACCTGCTGCAGCTCCCTAGCTGTGGTCTAGTCCTGGCCTGAGAAGGGTATTAAAGCACCTACACAGCCACCCTCAGGTTGTTGGATCAGTATTAACCCTATTATCGCCAGCAGGTACAGGGTTCAAGGGACCAAACAAGAGAGGACGCCTCATAGGATCTTGGGTCCCCTTCTCATCTGAAAATAGGTTGGACAGAAATAGCTATCAGGGCTCTTGGTTGTTACCTCATGGACTCCTGAGGGCTCTCCCCTGGACTCAGCTCTGTCTCTCCCAGCTCCCACCCAGACTCCCCACCCCAGCCAGAACCTACCTCAGGGCTGCAGTTTTCTCCCTCCCCAGATCCTCCATCCGATGAACTCCTGAGGGCCTGTCCAGGCGGCCAACAGCTCCAGGAGACCAGAAGTCCCCAAGAAACCAACAAGATCCTATGGTTCTGACTGAAGGGTTCTGGATCTTCGGAGAAAGCTCTGCCTTACACAGCCAGCCCTGTCCCTCCTCTTCCTTCCCCTTCCCCTTCCTCAGAGCCCCTCCCAAGCATATCCTGCTGAGACTTTTTTTTTAAAGAAGTGGGTGTGGTCACTGGGGGTTCCTTATTCTGACCACATGCAGCTGACCCTGTCAGGAGGGATGGACATTTCCACAAGGATCTGCTCTCATGCTGATGAGGTTATGAAGCAGGAGCCTAAGCTTTCCAAGGGTCCAGGCACCCCAAATGTGTCCCACCCCACACAGCATCATGGGCCAAGTGTCCATTAAGCTCCTCCCACCCATCATACACAAGCCAGACTACTTCAGGCCAACCCTGCATCTCTGTCTGTCACCTCAGAACAGACACCTGCCCGACACATTTGCATCTAAACCACAGCAGGTTCACTCAACACTGCTTTCCCCCCAACAGCTGAGGCACGGCAGAGCCAGCCTTCGTCTGCGTCCTGAACCTCACCGCCAGGTTCAGCTCCTCACTGCAGCCCCTCCAGGACCTTAACTATCAGACTGCCGGGGGGGGGGGGGTGGTGACGCAAGCCTCCGATACTGATGCCTGGGAGGCAGAGGCAGGTGGATGTCTGTGAGTTTGAGGTCAGCCAGGGCCCCATACTGCTAGCCTGTCTCAAAGCAAACAAACAGAACTCATCCAGGCCATGGGGTTCTCTTTCCAATCCTCTTCTTGGGTCATCTCTCATCTGAAAAGGTAGAATACAAGGCAAGCCCAAGAGACAGGAGGAAAAGCTGGGGCAGGAATGTCAAGAAGGAACCAGTGGTCAATGGTGGCGAGTATCAGCACTAGGGAAGGACAGTTGAGGCACTGAGAGGAAGCTCCACCTCATCCCCCTCTCTCTCACTCTGCCTCCCTCCTTCCCTTCTCTTCTCTCTCAGATGTTGTTGTAAAGCTAAAAAAAAATTAATAAATGTTGGGGCTTTCTAATGTTCATTATTTGCCCTATGATTATCACGGTGGTATTATTTAACCCTCTATGACAAATAATAAGACACAGATTAGATTTTATAATTTTATAATTGCCTTATTATTATAATTGCCTGTTAGATTTTATAATCGCCTTGTTTACCTTGGGCTGGGCAGATATTTCACTGACACCGTCTCAATAACCTCATCCCCATCCACCTCCCAGCCCCCCTCCAATGCCATCCACCCTACTATCCTACCTTCCATCCATCATCTTATAAACACTTGCTTGTATTCTCCTTCTGGGCCTCTCCACACCATTATTAAAGTCCTTCCTCCCAAATCACGTGATTCCTTCTCCACACCAACCATCCATCGAGGCATCCTCCTTCCTCTTCTCTTCCCATCTGCTTCCCATGATTCTCTCTTGAACCCAAAAGCCTCGGAACCTTAGCCAGGCCTACCCCATTCTACTCTGCCCAGGTATAGGCCGTTTAATCAACCAACCGGGTGTGTTTTAGGAAGGTGTACAAAACAAGGATAGGTGTAACCAGATCCTGAGGACCAGTAATATGCACCAGACCAACCTCCCACCCTCAGACTTGAAATCCAACATATCAGAAAATGTCCAACCTGGTTTTTTCTAAGGTCTTCTTTAAAAAGTCACAGCTCCCATGATCTCATCCTACTGGTAAATGGCTCTGGAGAGAGGCAGATGGCCAGTGCTGTAATTTAAGCCCCTGGATCCAGCCATGCCTGAAACCCTGTTGCCTGATCTATCTCTAATCTGCTCAACTATGTCATCCAATAAACTCCCCGCTTTCTCAGGATTAAAGCTGTTTGATGTGGGCTTGCAGCTGTGGGGCTGTGGGGTTACAGGTTTTTATTTGTTTGATTTTCTGTAGCGCCTTCACTGGGTTCTGGGCTCACCCTCTTTGTAGAGGAAGCCACTAGAACAACTCAGCCCAGGGGCGTGTGTCGTTTGTTCTCTGTCTCTGCCCCCTCCCCCCGCCCCCTTACTTTTCTTTCCCGACTCTTCCATATGCCTGGGATTAAGTCTATCTAGCACCTCTTCACTGGTGTCCTGGGGCCGTATGCCTGCCTACTCCCACCCTCTTCTTGCCCAGTACGTTTTGGGATAGTAGTGGTCAGGTTTTTGCCATTCCATCCATGTCAAGAGAATGGTTGACTCATTCAAGAAAGCAAATGGAAAAGTGAATGCACGCATGGAAGGGAGAATGAATGGTTGGATGGAATGAGGAAACCCAGTGTGTGATAAGGGCTCAGGAGTCGGTGCGTGGACCGGTGCGTGGACCAGCGTGGCCACCACGAGCAGCTGCTCTGCTTATCAGCCTCGGACTAACTGAATCGGAAATCACAAGCTGACCTCTGCTCTTATCAGTGGCATTTCTGCAGCTGGTGTGGGCGTGGTGACCATGGAGGGGAGAATTGGGGTGACTGCAGACAGCCCTAGAGCCATCCCTTACACACAGGACAGAGTGGGAGGGTGGTGAGAAAGTTCTGCCCCACAGCTGCCCCGAGCACAGCTTCACCCACCCCCAGGCAGGGTGCAGAGCCTTTAACCCAACTGCAGGACCTGTTACCTCCCACTGGGGTTTGTCCCCTGAGTTGCCCCTGCTGTTCCTGGGGCCCTCACTGGGCCTGCCAGTGGGAACACTGGTTCCCCAGCAACAGCATGGAGGGTACCAGAGCAGCTCAGGACAGCAGAGGCACCCTTAGGGGACTGTGGGAGTGGGCGTGCAAACACACACACACACACACACACACACACACACACACACACACACTACTTTCCTGGCATGCCTCTGGCTGTGGGACCACTTCTCTTTGGGCTTCGGTCTCTTCATCTATACCATGAAGCATTGGACAGCATGTTCACAAAGGTTCCCCTGGCTTCTCAGCTATCCAGAGGATCCTGGTTTCGGCTCATTTTGCCCAGACAAGACCCTTGGTCCCAGGCCATATGGACCCCGTCCCTCAGAGGCGTGGGTGGAGGGGAAGGTCTGCCCTGAGCCACCCCACGCTGGCCCTTTCCCTCCCGAAGGCTTCAGGGGATCAGGTCAAGCCAGCTTCTGAGCTGAAGCTGCAATCAGGCCACCATCCCTCAGCTCGGGCAGCACAGACTTGCCAGGGACAGGGAAACATGCTCTGCCAAAGCTTCCCCTCCTTCATCCCCTTCCCCAGCCCCCTCAACCATTCTTGAGGGTGTACAGAGCTCCCTTCCACCACAAGGCCGGAGCTCTCCTCCTGAATTCCATCATGACGAAGCCAGCCTTAGGGACAAGCATGACCTTTGCTTTTCTGGGCCTCAGTTTACCCTACAGCAGATCTCTCTCTCTCTCTCTCTCTCTCTCTCTCTCTCTCTCTGAGAAACAGGAAGTCCTTTTCCCAAGCATCTGGTCATCTCTGGTCCACAGGGGGTGCTGTAGGTAGGTTTCTCTGCTGCTATAAAAACACTGGCCAAAACCAGCTCAGCGGGAGGAAAGGGTTAATTTCACCCCATGGCTCCCAGGTCCCAGTCCATCACTAAGGGAAGTCAGTCAGGGTATGAACTCAGCAGGAGCCGAGGCAAGCTGTGTTGACACGCTATCCGAGGCTCACTGAGCTTCCGTTTTTACCCAACCCAGGACCCCCTGCTCAGGGTGAGCAACGCCCACAGGGGGGGTGCGCCCTCCCACACCAATGTTAATCCAGACATGCCCACAGGACAGGCTGCTGAAGACAGCTCCCCAGCTGATGTTCCCTCCTCGCAAATGACTCTAGTTTGCGTCAAACTGACAAAAACCTAACCAGCCATTTCCTGTCTATAAAGATGCTTGGAGTTGGGAGCATCCCTGCCCATAGCTCTTAGACATCCATGAAAAGGGGTCACCATTTGGTACTCAGGGACAGCTGCACTTGGCCTCAGGCCCCAGAAGAACAAATGAGGCTCAGGCATTGATTCTGGAGGTATCTCCTTTTCAGGAAAGCTCTGGGGCCCTGGCTTAACTCAGCAGGCCACAGCCAACCACAGCTCCCCAGGGGGCCAGCAGGTTTCCTGGACTACAGGCTCAGCATCACAGTCCCCTTTTACACACTTCCTCTCAGACATCCCACAACACCCCTGAGAATAGGCCTGCCTCCCCTTTTAGGGGCAAGGAGAAGCTTGCCACTAAGGTGAGGTGGCAAGGGTTGCCCACGGAGCATATCTTCTTTTATCACCCAGGTCCAAGGTGCCTGAGAGAGCCCCAAACTCAGCCCACTGATTGACCTTAGCCTACATGGAGCTCAGCTTAGACCGGGGGACCCCCAAGTGTCTGTGGCTCTGTGGGAAAGCAGGCACGCATGGCAGCCCACTGACGCTCCTCAGAGCCTTCCCCCTCCATCAATGCAGCTATTGTGGGATGCTGAAGCTGCTGTCCTCCACTGTCCAACATTTCCTCTTCCCCCGGAAAGCCTAGCGTAAAGGCAGTCCTCAGGTGGGAACGGCCATTACTGGTCTCTCTTCCCTTGCTCTCCCTGTCTCTCATCAGTAACAAGAGCCTCAGCCCCACCCCTTTCTCAGGGCTTGCAGCACAGGGGCATCAGGGTACACAGGCTTATGTTTCTCAAGTGAAGGGGTAGAGGGACCTGTAGAGACGCTGAGGGTTTTTTGTTGTGGGGGTCAGCTTATGTGATGAGGCTGAAGGCAAGAACGTCAACAAAAATTCAGCACAAATATATTCTCCATAGAGTGGGAAATCGTAAATAAAACAATCCCTAAGAACCTTACTTCTGCTGCATATGAAATAGTTTAAATTTTATTTCTGTTGCTTTTGTGTGTGTGTGTGTGTGTGTGTGTGTGTGTCTGTGTGTGAACGCCACACATGTGTAAATGCCTTCCGAGGCCCGTCGGCGGCATCAGTCTCAAGCGGGAGTATGGCAGTGGCGACCCATCCTTATGTGGGTGCTAAGAACTGAACTTGGGTCCTCTGGAAGATCACCGAGAGCTGCTGAGCCGTCTCCCCAGCCCTGAACTGATAAACTCCAAACAGTTCACTGACGTGCTCCGACATAACCGTAGGTCGCTTGATACACACTAAGTCACTTTTATTTGATAATAATTTTAAATCCCATTCACTGGGTCCTGTCATGATGAGAGTAGGGCAGAACAACGAGCCCACCCAGAGGGCTGAAGCACACTGGAATGCATGACTCACTGTTGCAGAGCCTGGCAGAGACACAGCCGGCTGGGACATGGGACGACAGCACAGTAGCTCTGCCCACAGCCCCTCCCATCCTGAGCACTCTCAGGGGTTCGTGGGCTCCTATGGGCCGGGGTCTTTGGAATCCAAGGGTTCTGAGGGCGGGAAGGAGGACTCTGTGGGTGACTTGTTACGCTGCCAAGGTTCTCTAGCCCCTGTGCCAGCCCAAGCCCCGCTGCAGCCTTACCACTTGAGGCACATTTTGTCAACCTTTTGAGCCCTCCAGTCTGCTAGGCTTAAACCTCAGGTTCCGGGCCAACTGTGCGCCAGCCTTTTCCATGCATGAGCTCCCTGTCTCTAACCTTCGACATCCAGCTCTCTGGCCTCCCCTGCTCCGAGATCTTGTCCAGAGAACTCGTGGAGGTGAAAGCTACCACATGGGAAGTGCAGGAGTGTGCCAGTCCCACCACCGAGAGGAAGTGAGGCCGTGGGGTTGGGGTGGGGCGTGCCAGGGCAGTGGGGGAGGGTTCGTACCTAGGTGGCCCTTCCTGACGGATGCTTGGCCCTCATGGGTTCTGCCTCATCCCTAGGTGGAAAGGTCAAACGGACTATCTTGAAGCAGGGCATCAGCGGCGGACAGCAGGGCTTTCCTGCACAGCTGCGGGGAGCCAGGCCCTAAGCAAGGCTCTCCCTGTAAGGACATACTTCCCCCTCTACACCAGGACTGATGAAATGGAGGCTCAGAGACGTGCGTCAACTTCCTCTGGTTATTTTAGCTAGTAAGGAACCAAGCCTGTCCTGTCTTCTTAGCATCTGAGACTCACAAGGAGTCCAGGAGAGAAAACGTACCAGGTCCTAGTGGTGGACCAAATATTAGTGCTGTCTTTTCAAGGGACCTAGGGAACTTGAGAGAGAAAGTGTGTGTGTGTGTGTGTATGTGCTCCTGATGATGGTGATAGGATAAAGAGATGGTATCTGAGGCCAGGAAAGAACTGTCTCACCCATCATTCTCCTACTTATGCCTTAGAAAGACTGACCTCTAGAGAGGGGCCCGAGTCTTTGACAAATTGAAGATGGGCTCAGCCCAGGGCTTGGAAAGGAGCCTCAGACCTTTCTTCTGGGCCACTCACCCACCCACTCCCTCTGCTCATAGGCATTCTGTAAGAATGGGTGGCCAGGCCCTTCTCTCTCCAGGGCCTGTTGCTTCATCAGCTCTCTGAGGCTCCAGATACCACTGGCCTCACATCCCTGGTCCATGGCAGGGCCTACAGAAGCATTCTGATGAGGCTGCCCCAGACAGTAGGCCAGGAGAAGCTGTGCTCTTTCCTGTTCAGCCTGGAACACTAGGGCAGAGCTCCACTGAAAGTCATGATGGGAAGGCAGAGAAGGGAGCACAGGTCAGTCCCAGCCTCTTCCGGCTGGCCGAAGGACCTCTGGGGTGGCAGGCTGCTCTTCTCCGGCTTGTAGCAAGGTGACACTTCACACCTGTAGGGCAGGGTATCGTAAGATGGGGCCCTGCCGGCTTTGGATGAGAGAGAAGGAACACCCTTCCCCGGGGACCACCTCTGCTGAGCGGGGCACGGCTCGCACTCTCACCTGACCACGCTCTGCAGGATCTTTCTCTCATCCTGGTCTAGACACACGGCAAAGGGGCAGCTGCTGGAGCCGATGATCTGTACCTTGTCCACTTTGATGTGGGAGGTGCTGATCTGGAAGGGAAACCCTAGTCAGGCCCTGGAGTGCTGGCTGCACCTTGCCCGGCCCTGGGCACATCTTTCCTCAGAGGAACTGGGGGAGTTTGGGACAGGACTGGCTGGCAGCTCTTGAGAGCTAACCATCAGGTCAGGGGAGAAATCCTGAGAACTATGATTCCTCTCCAGCCTCTGTGTCTTGCTGAGTCTGGAAAAATCGAGGCACTGGCCCTCCAAACCAGAGGCCCCTGACCTGCCGCCCACACTGGCTCAGACTTAGTGACCCTGAATGACCGTCACACAAACACACAACTTTTTCACAGATGTACATCCATTCCACACCCAACCACACGCCCCTCATGTGCCTCTCCTTTCCCAGGATTCCTTCCTCTGTCTCTCTCATACACACATGGGTCACCTTTACTCAAAAGCTTCGCCCACTCCTGCCAGAGCTGTGACGGGGAGAGAAGCAAGCCCTTACCTGGTTAAAGCCCTTCTTGGACTTAGGGTTCTGCCTTTTCACCACTTCCGTCAAGGTTAGCGTCAGCACCTCCATGCTGGAGTCTGAAGGTCAAGGGAGGCTCAGGCCAGGCTCGGGACTTCCCAGCCACATCCCCTAGCCTTCCCCTCCGGCCCACTCACCCAGCTCCTCCGGCTTCTGGCAGGCCTTGCTGAGGTTGACAGATGTGCAGACCTTCTCCAGGTTGCTCCAGCGGCTTCGCCCACTGATGGCTCCCTGGAAGGCAGTGTGGCCAGACCCGTCAGCCCAGAGCCCTAGAGCCTGAGGCCTCAGGAGAGTCAGCACTGAGGGAAGTTTGGGGCTCTACTAGAGGGTCTGAGAACCCTGGAGTCAGCTCTGGGCCCAAGCTCTGGTGAGGAGGACTCAGCAGCAGGCCCCGGCTGGGAAGGTGCCCAGCACTGGCCTCACTTACCTTGCTGTAAATAATCTGTAGTGTTAGAGGAACGGCCTCTCGGTCGTCATCAATGCCCAGCCGCTTGCTGCCTGGACCTGTGTCACACAGACACACTCTTTATCCCTTCTCCACTGTCCCTACCTCCCTGGGTACCCCTTCCTCTGTCCTGGCCCCCTCAGGGCTTCAACTCCCCAGGGCCGGGGCTCCTTCCTCTGCTCCTCCCCGATAGGACCCCCACCTCCCGCTACTCCCTCTCCTTTCTGACCCCACCTCCTAAGCCTCTCTGTAAGGGTTCCCGAGGTGCCCACCTGAAGCCTTGATAGCACGCGTGGTTGCAGAGTGACCCAGCTCCAGAGACTGAATGAAGATCTCTGTAGTCTTCTCCCCAGTGACGAAGGTCAGCTGGAAGGGGCAGGAGTGGGGCTCGCACATCGGTGGGGACCCCTTGGGCCAGCACAGGGGCTTCTAGGGGTGTGGGTGGGGCAGGCCCAGCAGGACGCAGGCTGGGACCTGGCCGTGGTGGCCATGGGTAGCCAGCTGGGAGCCGTCTGGGAGAGACGGGACAGCACGCCTACCTCTGTCTGATAGACCTGCAGCAACACTGGGCGGGCGGCAAAGCGGCAGTAGTACAGCAACATGTCGGCCAGGATGGGCAGCTGGGCGGCCGGGGCCCCCAGGGGCCGAGATTCTGCCTTCAGGGACTGCTGTGCTCAGTGGGACAGCCACGCCGGATGGATGTGGTAAAGGAGGCCATCAGAGGAAGCAGGGTAAGGATGCACGGAGAGGCAGGGGGAACAGTTTGGAGGGGACAGAGCAAGAGGGAGAGGGGAGTTAGAGGGAATCAGGACAGGGTGGAGGGCAGGGAGCCCAGAGTAGCCTTCTTGTCTCGCCTTGTCTGGCATACAGGCTCCCCGGGAGACAAGCCGGGAAAGGGAGAACTGACGGCTAATGTCCTCTTTGTCTTCCTGAGGGTCTGCCCCTTTGAGCACCATAGTATCCCAGCTCTTGTCCCTAGCACCCTGGGTTCAGATTCCATCTTGCTTCTCCCTCTCCAAGCCAGCCCCAGCCCTCCATGGAATCCCCAAAGCCAGAACCTTCAAATTAAGGCGGGATGACAGCAGCCAGTAAGCCCCCCCCCCCCCTCGGAGCCTACCCACCTGGCAAAGGACCTCAGGAGGCAGGTGCATGAGGCCCAGCACATTGCGTTCGTACCAGGGGTCGAGCATGCCGAGGTAGTGAGAGATGTCATTGGTACTGTCCTCGCACGGGGCTGTGCCAAGCTCCTAGGGTAGGGGACAAGAGTGAACCCCAGCCACTCGGAAGGCCAGCCCGTCACAGCTACAGGACGACATCCCACACCCCAAGCTGCACTTCTCTGGGCCTCTAGAGAAATCTGATGGTATGCCAGAATCTCATACCCAAGTACAGGGCAGGGGCCTGGAAATGAGGGCCAGGCAGGGGGACTGTCTGTTTTGGATGGTTTTTCAAACCACACCCGGAACCCGGAACCCGTTCTCATCTAATCAGCTTTGCCATCCCATCTGGCCCAAGGCCAGGGACATACTGCCAGGGTGGGGTGCCTCAGGGAATCTGTGGGGTACGCAGATGACTGGCTCAGAGAGGGCGGGCAGGCACTGGAGCTGGTTCCGCGGCTTCGCTTGACGGGCACGTAGAAGAACTGAAGCTTGAAGAAGCGCGTGAGGATCGGGTGGCTGTTCTCCAGCCTCCTGGTGAGGGGATGGTGGTGGTGAACCCACGCTGGCCCCAGGACTCTGGCTGGGCTCCAGATTCCATCAGCACCACGATCCCGATGCCCAGGCCAGAGTGACACAGCCTGTTCCCATCCTTACCTGAGCTTGCTATATGCCCGGGCCACCTTTCCCGAAATCCGGTCGGAGCCAAAGACCACAACCCGGAGAGTGGAAGCCTTGGGGTCCTCATCGCCACTGAGGAAGGGGCGGCGACGCTGGTGGTGTGAGGGGGGTGCCAGAAGCCAGCTGGGTAGCTGGGTGCTGAGCCTGGGCTGGGGTAGGGAGCGTGAGCGCTGGGCCCTGGGGGGGAGCTGGGCTGGACAGTCCAGGGGGCTGCAGAGGCTCCCGGCCCGCCGCAGAGGCAGGGCTGCGTCGGCGCTGCCCTCCAGGCTCCGAGAGTCTCTCCGCAGGACCAGCTGGCTGGTGCTCTTCAACAGTTTGTAGAACCTGTTGAACTTCTGCCCAGGCCTGCGCTGCCCCTGGCGCTGCTGGCCACCGGGCTTCTTGGTCCACTCCGGGGAGCTCTCCTCGCTGTCCTCCACGTAGCCACTGTCCATGCCATCCGAGAGGCCTGAGACGAAGGTGGTCAGGACCTGGCGGGACAGTGTGGGCCCCGAGGCATGAGAGGTGGCGAGCAACAGAGTGGAGTCGTGGGACCCCAGAGAGCTGGTGGAGAGGAGCGAGTCCCTCTCGGCACTGTGCCTGTCAATCTCTAAGTCCTCCTCTTCCTCCTCCTCCTCCTCCTCCTCCTCTTCATCGTCTCCCAGAATCCCTGGTGGCAGCAGCTCCTGCTCCTTGAGGAGGATTTCCTGTAGGATGTCTACAGGGAGACAAAAGCAGAGCCTGCCGTGGTGTCCTTTGGGCCCCTGCAGAGGTGATGGTCTCTACAGAGCAGGAGGTGTTTGCTCCGGGGCTAGAGTGGGCCCTCCTCCCCCCTCCCCCCAGTAGGCTGACGGCCTGTGCACTGGGAGAGCCCACAGGAGCACAAAGCATTCACAGATGCGGGCCCAGGCCGGCCAGCAGCTGGCTGTCTGGGGTGGAGCCCTGAGCCCAGCCGCCCCTTACCGAAGCTGTCCTGGTTCCAGCTGTAGGTGTAGCACCTGGCGACAGGGATGGGGATGGTGTGGAGTTTCCCAGGGTTTGCAGTGTCTGTAAGAGCAGAGACGACAGGAAGAGGGGACTGGGAAGGGGCCGTGCAGGACTGTAAGGCCCAGTTCCCCTGGCCTTACAGAAGAGGCCAGACATGGAACATGACAGACAGGAGGCCGCAGAACTGGGTGGGCAGAGGCAGAATGAAAGCTGGGATACCTGGCTTCCTGTTTCTCTTTCTTTCCTTTATTTTTTGTTTCTTTTTGTTTTTCATGCAGGGTTTCTCTATGTATTCTTGGCTGTCCTGGACTCGCTCTGTAGACCAGGCTGGCCTCGAACTCCCGGAGAGCCACCCCCTTCTGCCTCCTGAGTGTTGGGACTAAAGGTGTGCGCCACCACCTTCAGGCTTGCGTGTTTGTTTTGAGGCAAGCTCTCGCTATACAGCTGACCTCAAACCCATAAACTTCCGGCCTTGGCCTCCCAAGCGCTGAGGTCAGAGGCATGTGCCACCATGCCAGGCTCCTTAAGAGGTTGTATGGGGGGCATGGTACCAGAAGCTGCCAAGAGATGCTCAGAGGTTACGCCACCTGCTTCTGTGGTGACAGAGTGCAGGGGGCATCTCTAACCTCCTTTGGAGCAAGAGGTGATGGTGACATAAGAGGGCCCGGGGCCACATGGGCATCCCCATCCCCTCAGGGAGCTCTCTTCCTCTTGCTGACAGGAGGGCAACCCGGCCTTGGATCTGCCCGCAGGAACTCTGCCAGGGGACGCAAGGACACCAGGAACACCCAGACGCTGGGGAACCTGGCCACCGGAAGGCTCTGTGGGGCAGAGCTGCCAGGCCTGCTGGTGTGCATGCTCTGAGCGTCAGAAGAGGCGGAGGGGAGGCAGACAGAGCAGTCCTCGCCCAGGCCTTACCTAAGATGCCAGGGAAGCCGGCTTTCTCTCCCACTGCCTGCAGCTTAGTCCGCAGCCACTGGCGGGCCTCTGCTACATCCCCAATGCCAGCTGCCAGCTCCTGGGCTTCCGCAGTCTCCGTGAAGATGTCTTCAAGCTCTTCCAGCGTCTTGGACTGAAAGTGCAGAAGGAGACCAGGTGTGTTCCTGGCCACGGCCTACCCACACGTGTCTTGCAGTTCACGGCACCGGATCAACAGCAGCAGTGAGCAGGGTCCTCACCCTGATGGCTTTTGGGTGGATGAGGAGCTGAGCCTCCCTTTTCTCACTTCCCTCCTACCTTCATAAAAAAAAAAACACGGAATGCACCGCAGAGCAGGAGGGATTTCACGCCCCTCAGTGCACAGTGGTGATGACCGGTCACGGAGCCAGGAAAAGAAACCAGACCTTTGTCCAAATGCCATCTCCACTCCCGTGCCTCCTTCCGGGACCGAAGGCACCCACACCCAGCCTAGTGCCCAGGGCGTGGCCAGGTCCTGGCCGGGAACTAGCAGTGCACCAGGGCCAGCCCTGGAGCTGCCTGGCAGGGGCACTTGAGGCTGCTGAAGCCGGCAGAGCTCTGAGCAGATGTTTCTTCGTGGACCCAGGCTCCCCAGCCATTACCTGGAGCTTGCGGTGCAGCCTGGGAAGGTCACAGCGGGCCCCAAAGGTGGCCTGGAAGGCATGCAGGAGCAGGGTGATGTAGGCGCCGTGGGGTGACTGTCCCGGTGTACTCAGCTTGTCCGCCACGGCCAGGAATTCGGCCTGGACCTCCACAGGGTTCAGCAACAGCACGGTGCTGGGGACACAGGACAGGCCGTGGTGCCGCTGCAGCCCCCATGCCCTCGGCTGCAGCCCCTGAGCCCCCGTGGGCTCCACACAGGCCCTCTCCCAGCCCAGCACGAGGCACGCGACAGTGGCCACCGGGAAGGGGCTGCGGGCAATGGGAGCCCATTTCCTTGGGCACACTTCTGATTTCTCTGGAGTCTTTTCCAGGCAGAGCTTTCAACAACTCTTTCAGGACTGAACTTGAGGGAAGACAGGGCTCAGAGCCAGGTGGTGTGTGCTGCTCCTGCAGAGAACCTGAGCTCCCAGCATCCACTGGCAGCTCACAACCACCTCTAAGCCAGCTCCAGGGGGTTGCACACCTCTGGCCTCTGCAGGCGGCTGCACTCACACCCATACCTGACCACACAGAGACACACACACACACACACACACACACACACACCCATACCTGACTACACACAAACACACACATACATACAAATAATTAAAAACAAAATAAATATTTTTTAAAAAACCAAACTGGAGGAGCTAGGGGTGTAGCTCTGTCAATGAGTAATTGACTAGCACACACAGAGCCCTGGGTTCAAGCACACGCACGCACGCACGCACGCACGCACGTGCACACACTGAAACTGCAGCCCAGGGCTCAGGGTGGCAATCACAGTGGCATGCGGATTTCCAACCAGATCTTGTTACTTAAATGGAATAGAAAAGCCAGACGAAGCAAACGGCTCACGTCTGCCATCCCAGCGCTTGACTTGTGGCGGCAGAGAAGCAAGGGTTCAAAGCCGATGTCTGCTACATATTAAGTTTGGGGTGATCATTCAGTAAAAAGGTAAATAAATAAGGACAGTTCAAAACTCATTTTATGTGATAGGGTTGATTTTCCAGGAAACTCTTCTCTCACCCCTGTGCCAGGCTGTCAAATAACTAAAACAAACAAACAAACAAAAACAAAAACAAAAACAAAAAAAGGGTCTCACTACGTAGTCCAGGCTGACCTTTAACTCACAATCTTCTGCCTTACGTGTGAACTACAGGTCTGTGACACCACGCCTGATTTAACGTGTATAAGCCCAGATCAAGAGGAACGTGGAAGCATTGTTTTAGTAACAGGAGAGACCCCAGGGTGGGGCCCGTGAGTGAGGCCAAGACTCAAATCCTGACTCATGAATTCGCCAACTGTGATCTCGGGGAAATGACCCGGCCCCTCCGCCTCCATTTTCTTCACCTGAACATCAGAGATGAAGAAAGTAATGTGTACCAGCCCCTTTGTGAATGTGAAGGAAGGGGGCTGGTGAGATGGCTCTGCGGTTAAGAACACCTGCTGCTCTTCCAGAGGACCTGGGTTCGATTCCCAGCACCCACATGGCAGCTCACAGCAGTCTGCAACTCCAGTCCCAGGAGATCTGATACTTTCTTCTGGCCTCTGTGGTCACAGATATATGAATATGAAGGGAGATCCTCAGGTACCCAAACACCACAGGCGTTGGGGGCTGTTGGTTCCCAGGGTTCCCTGTTGCCCGTTTCTGGGATGTGCAGACATGGGCTGCAGCTGTGCCTGCTGCAGCGGCTGGGGAAGGGCAGAAGTGCCCTGCCTTGTGTCTCCCTCCCCTAAGCACACTCACACAGTGGAACTCCGGTGGCTCTTGATGGACAGGCCCTGCTCAGCCCTCACCAGACGCTGGTAGGAGATCCCTGCGGACCAACAAACAGAGGAGAGGGTAGGTGAGCTTCCGCCAATCCTGTCCTGGGCTTCCTACAAGCCAGTTCTGGCTGATCAGGCTGGGAGTGACCCTGGAGGCTCTATTCTGGCTTTGCCAGCAGGTAGGTCATGCGACCCTGGTCCTCAGTTCCTCCGGAAGAGACAGAGGGGCACCCTGTGGCTACTCAGAGCTGAGTCCCTGGGCCACCTGGGAGGCACCACTTGGCCTTCCTGGGAGGCAGAATTTCACAAGGAGAACTCAGGCCCAGGACACTGCCAAATAGTGCCTAGACCCACACACGGTGCCACTTACGCCTGGGGTCTTCCTTCAGTGTGTGTATGGGGGGGGGTGCCAGGCACCCGGCACCCTCCATGCTCGGCCTCACACTGGCCAGGCAGCATCCTGCCACTCTACTCTTCCCTGCCTGGCTTCCCATAGCACCCTGGGGTTCTGGGTCTTGCCTGGTGCCTGCTTTCTGTGACAGTCCCCGGCACAGCCAGCCTCCCTTCCTCCCCTGCTTCGAACACACTGAAAGGAAACAACGTTCAGAAATAGTCACAAGGAAGTCCCTGCTGGGCACCCCTGGCTGGGACTGAGCTGGACCAGGGAGGGGATTCCCCCTGGATGCAGGAAAGCCAAGAAAGCCGTAAACACAAAGGCCATGAAATTTGTTTAGTAAACGACAGGAAATTACCAATTCATGCTCTTCTAATGTGGGACCTCGTTGCTCTAATTGTGGGCTCTTTGTGCGATGTTTCCTTTCTGTAACTGTCACAGACGCTAATGTTAGGTCTAGTCCTTAAAGCAGCGGCTGTTACTCCAAGGAATCGGACTGCCATCTAGCGGCCATGCACATACATTGCAAAGATAAATTCAATCCCGCCACACCCTCTGCAGCACACACACAGACAAGCAAATCTTCTGTTGATGTTATTTTTCCGGTTTCTCGAGTGCTTGTGTGGGAGTTTTTGTGGGTAGAAGAACCCAGAGCCTTGAATGTGCTACGAAAACACCCTATCTCTTTAGCTCTATTTAATGGTGTTTTTATTAAGTGTGGAAGTGTGTGTTTTGGAAGTATGTGTGAGTATGTGTGTCTGCATGTTTATGGGCTCACATGCATGCATAAACGTGTGTGAAGTGTATGTGTGTGGTGGTAGGGTTGGCATAGGGCACCTTTCTCAGTTGCTCCCAGTTTTATAAAGGGAGGCAGGATCTCTCACCGGAACCCAGGGCTTGCTGGTTCTGCCAGGGAGGCAGCCACCTCACCTCGGGGATTCCCTGCATTTGCCCCCTGAGAACCAGGATTACAGGGAGGCTGGCACTCCACCCACCAGCTACGGGAACCGGAACTCAGGTCTTCACACTTGCATGGCAGGTGCTCTACCCACTGAGCAAAGGCCCTTCGAGCGTCTTAAAACGAGCAGCCCACTCCCCAGGGCCTCCTCATCTCCACGGCTAACTCTGCCTCTGTTGACCTAGGATGGACAGCCAGTCACACTGCGAGCCGTAAAGTCTTTGTCCCTGAATAAAAGTTGCCAAAAATGCCAGGCTGTGGACTTCTGGGCCCACTGCATCCCACCTCATGTTTTCACCCTGGTCCCAAGCCCGTCGGCCCAGCCTTTCGCCATTTTCCTTGTATTTGTCTTTGGACGTTGTTGGCAGCTGCAGTCGCCATGGTCACCCTTCCTATGGCGTTCTTGAGGAGGGCTCTCCTCTGTCATGTTTTCCCCATGCCTGTGTCTAGGGACAGTTCTATCGCCTCATCTCAGGGCTTTGGTAAGTCAGAACAGGGGCTGCTTCCTATGTTCTTCTCTGCGCTTATCTGCTTTGCTTTGCAGCACCAAGAGGAGGACACTATTTGGGAAGACACTGGTAGCTCCTGGCACACACCGACCATGGAGAAGCTGCGTTTGGAGCGAGTGGCCTGTCTGAACAGTCAGGACACCCACAGTTCCCAGCAGAGACACAACTATTCGGTAGAACTCCCAGCCTCACCATGAAGACATCCCTCAGCATCCCCTCGCCTCTACTGGTGATGTCATTGCTGCTTATCCTGAGGTCAGGGCTTTGTGGGGACGCACCGGTGGGCTAGGGCCTGAGCTGGCAACATACTAGAACCGACTGACACAGGACGTGGGACTTTTCCTGAGCAGGAAAGTTCCCCACTGCAGCACAGTGCCGACATAAAGACAAGAACAGCCGGGGTCTTCTGGGCGTGGGGGTCGCATGTCTTGGTGATCAGGGGAGGGCTTCATCCTGACTTTGGGGGTTCCCGCGTGCAGGGCTTGTTAATGTGTGGGTGTGGACAGGCTGCCTGCTGCCTGGCTCCTGCCTCATTGTTTAAACCGTGACTGTGCCAGCGCCTGCACCCAGAGCTGTTCTGGGGCTCCGTGAGACCTGCGCTTGTCATGCTGACCATGCTGTGAGCACACAAGAATGACATCATCAACAGGAGTCCCGCTTCCACGGACAGACTCAGAGGTTAAGCGGCCCACCCAAGCTCATTGGCTAGTCCGTGACAAAACAGAGGTGCTTGTCACATAAGGTTCCTTCTCTCGCACTTGACCAGAAGCTTGGACAAGGGGAAGTGAATGTCTCACTTATGTGTATGTTGGGGATGTGATATCGTTTTTCTCACCCAGTAGGACTGCACGTGGCCTGGTGAGACACAGTCCTTGAGGTTCAAGTCTCACATGCAAAGGGCCCTTGTCACCAGATCGGTCCATTGCAAGTGTGGTATTCTGTGTCGCCGTGTGAGCAAGGGGTCAACGCTCAAGAGACACGCAGGCTGAAGACTAAAGGGCGGTGCTGCAGGGGTTGGCACCGTTGTGGGTGGAGTCAGAAGGAACCGGGAGGCCCTGTCCAGTAACCAGCCTACTTCCTCCATACACATGGAGACTGCCAGCTGCTGTCTCCACTTCAGCTGAGTCTCCCAGACTCTACTGGGGGAGGGCCCAGATCCCTAGGTCCCTTGTCATCCCTTTATGACTCTGACAGGACCTGTCCCTGAAGTCATCAGCATCCCAATGCTTATCGCCCCCTGCGAGGCTGAAATCAACGGAAGCAGTGCTCGTCCTCACAGACTGCTGCAAGAAAAAGGCAGCACTGTGCTCCCATTGTTCAGATGGGGAAACTGAGGCTATGCGTGCTCCATGTCTTATGGAAGGGCCTCAGAGACAGTGAGTAGCAGAGTCAGGCCCAGCATTTGGAATCAGTGGTCTGGCACCAAGCCCAAGGAACCACAGATCTATCTGGGCGCCTCCTTCAAGAATTCAAGTTCCCTGGCCTCTGTGCCAGCCTTCCCCGGCTGCCTCCCTTGGCCAGGCTCACAACAGACAGGAGGGGGTCACACAGAAATAAGTTCCATCAAAAGTGGCACAAAGACATTCTCCACTGGGCCTACCTCCAGGTTATGTAGAAGAAGGGAACTTATGGATCCCACTACTTGCTGAGAACTAGGGCTCGGCTTCTGTGAAATCAGAGGCCACCTTAGGAGAATGAGAAAAGTTACAAGCGTTTTGTTGTGGTTGTTCTGTGGAAATGGTAATTCCCAAAGCTCTGGCTCCATCAGAAGTTTATAAATGATGAGAACTAAGATTGCCTCTGACGTCTGTTAATGCATATCTAATGTCTGTCAGTTTGTATGTGAGAGATCTGCATCCGTTTCTCCTGCCTTGTTGTCTTCTTCTTGAGACAGGGTCTCTCTGTGAGGCCCAAGGTGTGTGCTACCATGCTTAGGTGCTCTGCCTTTCCTGAAGCCAGCTCTACTGCCTTCTACTGGCTCAGCAAGGAATGGATTCTACGTTCAATGCAGGCTCAGTACAAACCCGTGGGAGCTTTTGAGCTGTTTGGAAATGATTCTCTGACGCCAGGGGAGGTCATGGTTTCCTATTTCAGTTCTTCTTACCCTCGAAGAGGGATGGGCGGCCCTGTGAGCGCACCCTGCTCCCGGCGTCTGAGTGTACCCCAGATAGTCTAGGGTTATACCAAGAGCCCTCAGCCGTGAGCGGCCACTCCTGGGTCTTCCCTGCTTTGGCAAAGGGCCCGTTCTCCATTTCCACCATCGATGGCTGTTCTGCCTGGCACTTGAGTCCCAAGCTTAGCGTCCCATCATCCCATGGCCTTGACCTCACACCTGCCTCTCCACATCCGTTTGCTGAGCTGATGAGAACAGTGCTCCTGACCAACAACCCACAAAAACATCTCGGGGCATTGCGTGCATCTGCCTAGGGCTAGCCACATGGTTCTGCCTGAAAGTGGGAAGCAGTCTCTCCACAGGTGACACCCCTCCCCCGTACAGCAGCTCCCTGGACCACTTCACAGAAAAAGGAGCCACTCAGTTCTGCGTGCACAGAGGCACTGGCAAAGCATCTGAAGTTTAAATCCTTTCTCTTGAAATTGCAAAGGGAAAGAAAAGCTTTGTCTCCTGGAAAAGAATCCCAGTCAACAGCCAGAAGCCAAGACAGGTCCATGAAATAAACTGACCTCATGCTGATTGCTCCTTTAGGATGCATGTTAAGTTGGGTTGGGAGACTGTCTGCTGAAAATACCCTGGAGCATCTTTTTGACTCCAGGTCTTATGGTCTCTTAACTGGCTAGGTGTGGTGGCACACACCTGTAATCCCAGCACTGGGAAGGAAGAGGCAGGTGGGTCTCTGTGAGTTCAAGGCCAGCCTGCTCTACAAAGGAATCCGGGATAGCCAGGGCTACACAGAGAAACCCTGTCTTGAAAAACCAAAAAGGAAAAGGAAAAAAAGGAAGAAAGGAAGGAAAGATGGAAGGAAGGAAGGAAGAAAGGAAGAAAGGAAGGAAGGAAGGAAGGAAGGAAGGAAGGAAGGAAGGAAGGAAAGACTTTCCACTCAGGTCCCTTCCACGAGGAGACCATTTACAGGAGGACTTTCACTAGCACCCACTCTGCTTATTTGTGCTGACTGGTTGTGGGGAAACAGATAACAAAAGTCGAGGAGCAGACAGATGAGTTGGTTGACAAGACATGGACCCTTGCAAAGGAAGTCCAGAACAGAATTTCAGTCCTGAACATCTCAGCGCTCCTGAGTTGGGGGACAGAAGGTAAAGCCGCTGACAGATTATGTTTACTGTGTGTGGCTGCGGGTAAATGCTTACACAGTCGACACAACCTGGAATGAATAAATGTTACCACAGAAGAGCAAAAGAATTACAATGTACAGTGTATTGGGGGGGGAGGCTCAGTCAACTAATTAATCAGCATCTTTTGATCTAAGTACTTCTTTTTAAATATTATATTTTTTAAATATTTTATTTTTTATTATGTGCAAATGTACTGTGTGGGAAAATGAGTATGTGGGTGCAGGTGCTCTAGGAGGCCAGTAGAGGGCGACAGATCCTGTGGAATTGGATTTAAGGTGGCTGTGCGCTGCCCAGTGTTGGCGCTAGCTAGGATCTCTCAGATCCTCTGAGAGAGCAGTATTTGCTCTTAACTGCTGAGCCATTTCTGCAGCCTCCATCTTGGGAAACTGAATAGTGTTCTACCAAATGACTCGGCATCCGTATACTGAACTGTGGTCATTATTCAGGGTTTTGCACTGGCTAATGACTAGGAAGGCACATTTGATGAACATTTCTCCTGCTAAATCTTTGCACAGCCACAGATAGTTTTCTGGATTGCGTTCCACAGATGGCACAGCTGCATGAAAGGGCGATGCTGGAGCTAATCCAGGCCTCTTTCCCATCAACACTGGTATTTTCAGTCTTTTTAAAGTTGGCAATCTGACGAGGAAACCTGTGCCTCCCTCTAATTCTGCATCTGCTTCATTCCTAGTGTAGGTGGTATTGTTTTTTGATGCGTATGAATCGTGTCCTTGTTTACATTTTCACTGGTGTGTCTGAAGATTTTTTTAAATTGACTCAAAATAAGCTTCCATGGGTCTGAAATAATTTCTATCACCATTTTTTTTTTTTAACTTTGTCATTTTGTTCCACTTATGAGACTTCAGTTCCTGACTTTCAGACCCTCACAGTTCTCTGTGGCTTTTACCTTAGGAATGCTTGATGACTCTTCTCCAGCCCAGGGTCACATACCCTATTTTTCTTCTACTGTTTTTGTTATCTTGTTTTCCATTCTTAAGTCTTTTACTTTATGTTTGAGATGGACCTTTGTTTTGTTTTATTTGGGATACATTCCTTCTATGTAGCTCTGGCTGGCCTGGAACTCATTATAGACGAGGCTGGCCCCACACTCACAGAGGTCCACCTGCCTCTGACTCCAGGGTGCTGAGGTAAAGGCGTGCACTATCAATGCTCCGCTGGGTTTTATTTTTAGGGTAGAATTTTAACTCCTGTTTAAAATGATCTGCCAGTTAACCTGATACCATTAATTAAACGACTGAGTTCTTTTATTACTGGTTAGAGGGCGCCTCTTTGCCAGGTCATAGCTTTTATGTATTTAACTGTTTCTGGACACTACCTCCTATCCTATGACCTGCTCCTACACCGTAGGGCTGTTTTAGGAACCTTCGCATTAAAGACATCGTCGTGCAGATGCCGCCTTCTCAGCCTGTCCTGAGAACAGCAATAGATGCACAGCAAACGCCATGCTTAAATGCTTCTGTGGAACAGTTACAGTTTCAACTAGGCTTTAGCTGTTCCATTTTCAAGGACCTTGGTGCTTTGATTTGGTTACATTATTTTCATGATACCTCATGTCACCAGGACACTGGCTCAGTCCCACCGTTAACAGTTTTCTAGTAAGTCAGGGCTGACCCCTCTCTAGGTTATTCATGTTTCTTATCTTACATTTTCTTAGGTTTCTGTCTCCATTGTGTCCTCCCCTTCTGTGCCTCACTCCTTCCCTTTCTCACTTCCTTTTCCCCTTCTCCTTTCCTCTCTGTGTCTACCTCTTTCTTTTTGAAACATGATCTGGCTCTGTAGCTCAGGCTGGCTCTCAAACTTGTAACAGTGTCCCTGCTGCCCCTGCTGCCCCTGAGTCGTGGATATTTTCCTATAGGTGGGGTTGGTAAACGGGGAAACTTTACTCTGCCTTTTCTCTCTCTGAGTCACTCATCCAGTAGTTCGATCACACTTAGATAAGCAATTGGGTGCTATAAAATTAAAATGTCATCTCTTCCAGATGGAGAAATATTTTTGGTTCTCTTTTTGCATAGGCAAAATACACATAAGGAAAACCAGAATGATGCTCAAGTTTAATGGAAAAGCTTGCGGCGGTTCCCTTGGGCTGTTGCCATATTAAAACTACTTCTGCAGCAATAGTTTCCATATACTGAGGGGCTTTGAATATCAAGAGAGCGCGTTGGCACTAAGCAAATGGCTTACGGGATCTACGGAGACTTCCCTGAGTCAGCAGCGAGGCGTTTTACTCTGCCCGGGGCAACCTCTCAGGGAATCAGACTTGGTTCTTCTTCCTCTTGTTCTATGGTGGTTTTGTTATGACTCTCATAAAAAACAAAACAAAACAAAACAACCCCCCCCCAAAACAAAACAAAACAAAACAAAACAAACCAGCGGCTCAGTAGGGAAGGGAGGGTGCTGCCAAGCCCGATGACCTGCATTTGATCCCAGGACCTACATGGAGGTGGAAGGAGAGAGCTGACTGCAGGCTGTCCTATGTCCTCCACCCGCAACCGCGTGCATCGGCTCGCATGGCACTAGAGAGCGCGGTTTGGAAGAGCAGTCGCTTGCCAGGACAGCCATCAGCCGCTCCATTCCCAGCTGCCGGCGCTGTCCCTGGGGAAAGCCACTCTCTTCTGCAGCTGCCTATCTGCTCCCGGGGCAAAGAACGGATCTTCTCATTCTCCCGGAGACGCCTCTGAGTGGGCCGCACAGCCCGGGAGACCCTGTAGCTAGTCAGAGGTTTGTAACCTTCCCAACGCTGTGACCTAACACAGTTCCGCCCCACCCCCCACCACCGCCACAACCATAAAATTATTTTCGTTGCTGCTTCATTACTGTAATTTTGCTACTGTTATGAATCACAATGCAAATATTTCTAGAGATGGAGGTTTGCCGAAGGGGTCGAGACCCACAGGCTGAGAACCGCTGTGCTAGCTACTCAGACTAGAGGGCATGCCTGGCTGGCTCCCTGAAAAAAACCTCCTCCTTAAATCACTTCCCATGTTGACTCTTCAACTCGCGAGAGCTCAGCCATCTGACCACAGTTGAGAACACTTAAAGAGGGCACCCCAAGCTCCTTGCCAGCGCGTGGGCAAGGGTGAGGTCCCAGAAATGCTAGTTCTCCAGGTCATGTGACCCTGGCCCCCTCGGAACTCACCCGGGGCCTTGAGTTCAGCGTCAATGAAAGTGAGCAGCTCTCGGCAGATGCTGCAGTAGGGAACGGGCCATGTCAGGAAGCAGTGGTAGGTGCTGGCTGCCTTCAGGAGGAGGTCGGAGTCTGGTGGGAAGTGTGGCGTCTAGGGCGGAAGTGGGGCAGTAGGACATGACTAGGGAGCCAGGCTCGGTGGTTCTCACCTTTAACCCCAGTGCTCAGGAGGCAGAGGCAGGCAGATCTCTGTGAGTTCCAGGCCAGCCTGGTCCACACAGTGAGTCCAGGACAGCCAGGGCTACACAGAGAGACCCTGTCTCCAAAAACAAACAAACAAACAAAGTGAAAAGGTGAGGAAGAGTTCATTTACATCCCCAGGACAGTTTCTGCTGCTTTTCTGGGACATCCCACAAAAGACAGGGCACGTCCAGGGAGCAGCATGCCACAGGGCAACACCAGGGAAGCCTGAACTACAGATGGACAAGATGGTGCCCGAGTGTCTCTAAGGCAACGGGCCTTGTTTTCATCAAATAAACTCCAGTTTTCCCAACACTTGAGGAAGCCTCTCTGAAAAGCTGTGAGCTCAGAGGTCATTATACGTGGTGCCACGGCTTCTACCCATTTTGAGGAACCATCTTCAGTGCAAATGCTACTCCTATGTAAATATCCTCCTGAGAGGGAAATATTTTTATTCTTTGGGTATACTGAGTTCAGGATGCCAGCAGTCAATTGTTTCACCAGGATGATCAGATCAGGTAATGCTGACCTCTAGGGTGAAATATTAGATGGACATAACATTCTCTCAGCATGATCCTTCTCAAAAGCCCAGGGAGAGCAGGCACCAGGGCAACCATCCATAGTGACTGGGAGCTTCCCTGGATGGGATCATAAAAGGAGCAGGAGGTTGAAGCCCATCTCAAGTGTCATGGCTCCCATGATTCTGAGTATTATCAGGGCTGTGAGGCCTGTGGCCCGGACAGAGGCCTCTCTTCCCTCTCCTCCCTCTCAGCTCCAGGCACCCGGACTTACACAGAGGACGGTGGAATAGAAGAGCAGAGCCAGTGGGGCGAGGAGGTCATAGGTGCCCTTTTCTTGGACCTGTGGAGATGACAGGGAGGTCAAGGTCTCTCGGCCACTGTGCCGCTTGGTGGGCGGGAGGCGCACCATCTCTTCTGTGCTGACCTCAGCAGATTAACTCAGCTATCTCCTCTCTCCCTTCGCTCCCCCACCCTGGCTTGAGACCTTCCACAAAGCCGTCCCTGTTGCTCCATGGCAATGGGTCCATCGCATGTGGGTTTGTGAGGTAAGGGCTCCAGAGGGGCTGTGGCTCCTGAACTGGCTTGCTTGTGATCAGCAAGCTAAGGCACCAGTAAATCTAATACTAGGAAGATGACCCTGAAAGATGCCACCAGCGAGGGACTTAAATGATGAACTTTCTTCTGGGGGTGACCAGCTAAGAGAGAAAATCACCTTTACAACTCAGTCATGCATTAAATATATTACTTAATATATATTAAATATATATTAATGCATGTCTGAAATAAAATCACCTTTACAACTTAGTCCTCCATTAATATGTAGGCTATATTAATATATACAATGACTAATATATATTAATGCATGGCTAAGTTGTAAAGGTGATTTTATATATAATACATACATATATATATATATATATAATATATGGACAACTTAGAAGAGAATCCTCAGGAGACAGCTAGAGTCATTTTGGGGACTTGGCCCATTCTGGAACCTCAGCCCAGCTCAGCATTAAACAGGCTCTTCATTCATAAAGGCCTGCATGCTGCGTTTCCCTTCCCAACCGGTTCTCTCCTTCGTGTCCCTGCTGCTGTGGGTCCTTCTGTGGAGAGGAACTCAGTAAAGCCCCTTCCCTCCTCCCCTCCTAGTCCATACCTCGACCTGCAAGTAGCATCTATCCTAAGATGGAGTTGAACTCAGGCACACGAGGCACCTGAGGCATGTTTACACAAGACAGAGCACACCCTTCCTGGGAAGACTCGTGTACAAGCACAGCTCATGGGCTTCCCAGGTTGGGCAAGCCCTCCGGGGTCCTCAGAGCTGACCTGTGTCTTGACTCTATGAGGTCAGTGCCTGAGGTGGTCTTCAGCGCGTGGGTTACCCTCACCTCTCGGGTTTTCTGTAGGATCTGTTCCAGGAGGATGAGGAAGTGGCCCGGGTCCCTGCTGACCAGCTCCTGTAGGCTCCAGCAGTTCAGGCACAGCCCGGCTAGACAGGGGGCAAGTTAGGCCAGTGGTTAGTTTCACTCTCTCCGGAGCCTCAGGCAGAGCTGTAGGGAGAGGGTTTTATTCGGGAACCCTGCTGGATCATGAGTCCAGGGGTACAATAAGGCTGGCCTAGGCCTAGGCTGTATGCATAGTGAGACATACTGAGTGGCAGTGACAATGATGACACCCACAACCCCGACAAACAAGCCTAGAAGGATAACGACCTTTTCTTCTTCCTGTGTCTGCAGGGGGCTCCTTAGCCAGGGGGGTTGTCGATCTGAACTAGGATCCCTTAGAGGCCAATGAGCCTGTTGAGACTTCTGGGTATGGAGGTGGTCTCCTCAGCAGTCCCTGCCCACGCAGTCCCTGCCCAGCTTTCCAATAGTGACTCCTACCAGATGCAAGGCCGTTGGGACGGAGGCAGGAATTGCTAGAAGAATAAAGATGGGAGCTCTGAGGAGCTCCACCCAGACCCAGGATCGGGGAGTCTCAGACAGTCATGGGGCTTCCCGAAACTGCTTGGCAGAGGAGCTCGGGAAGGGGAAGCTCTGTTCACTAAGCTGAAAGGCCCTGAGCACTGGTCACGTGACTTCCCAGGCTTTCTCAACGTGCTGGTCCCCGGTTTCCCTGAACTCAGCAAGGGCAAACCCCTGACAATTAAAGAGGTGACCACAGATACGGGGCTGCATCCATGGGGTGGATGGAAGGCGATATGGGCTTCCTGCAGCTGGGGGTCCGGGCCTCTTCAGGATGTGAGTGCCTTTCAGAGCCCTGGAAGCTCCGGGACGTATATCCAGATGCCTACTGACTTTCTTTCCCCTTTCTAAAATTTACAGAGGGCTGGGGCTGCGGCCCAGCGATAGAGCACTTGTCTAGCATCCATGAGGCGCTGGGTTCAACTCTTGGTACTGCAAGAAAAAGAGAAGAAAAACCCAACAGCAGAAAAAACAGCCTGGGAGAAGTTAGATATTTCCATACTTTTTAACAGAACGACGCTTGCCCCAACTTCTGCGTAAACTTTGGCTCTATCAGGACCCAGGAGGGAGGGAGGAAGGGAAAACACTTTTTACCGACGACCACCTACGGTGTGCTAGTATGGTGCTGGGCCTTTGCGCACACTCTCTCTGCCAGTTTCCCCTCTTCGAGTCATTATCATTCCCATTATCCAGGCAAGAAATTGGGATCCATAGAGACAAATGGGATGGACAAGGGCGTACCGTCAGTGAGAGTCTTAACCCAAATCTGTCTACCTCCAGAGGACAGAGAAAGCCGTCCACAGCAGTGACATGAGAGCTGAGGCCACAGTACGAACAGGCCAGTTTCCAGATAGGAAAGAGGCAGTGGGTTCAAGAAGCAGAAGGAATCTACCTCCAAACAGGGACTGAGCGACACAGGAATAAGAGGACCATCGGCAGCATAAGGCACCCTTGTAACTAGGCACCAGCCTCAGGGGACACAACCACCCCAGCCTGCACACGCCCTGCAGCCTAGGAGAGTCAGGGAAGGGCAGAAGGGGGCTGTGCAAAGAACTGGAAACAAACAGTCTCTGGGGAGAGATGCCTCAAGACTCTGGGGAGAGACGCCTCAAGTCTCTGGGGAGAGATGCCTCAAGACCCCGCTGCTCCTTTGGAGAAGTGGCTGTGTTTCCAAAGGGTTCAATTTTGTCTCGAGGGGACTGTGCATCTACAGCTGCTAAGAAAACAGGACAGTGTAGGAAGAGGAGAGAGAAGAGCAAGAGGAAGCAGAGGAGGAAGAGGAGGAGGAGGAAGAAGAGGAAGAGGAGAAGGAAGAGGAGGAGGAAGAAGGGCAGGAAGAGGAGCAGGAAGAAAAGGAAGATTATATAAGGGAAAGCAGGAGAGCCTCACACAGAGGACTGTAAACAGGGCAGGGGCTGTGCCTGCCTCCTGCCCAGGTGATGCTTGGGGACGTACTCAGCTGGTGGCACGCAGGGATGGGACCTCCATCTGAGGGTCTGGAGTGCCTCCCAGTTCCCCAGGACCTACCTGACCAGGGGGCTGCGCGGCGTCCAAGGCTCAGTCCATGCAAGCATCGCTCCAGAGCATGGTGGATGCGGTCTTCCGTGCACGTCGTGGCTGCTGGCTGCATCCTGAGTCATTGCCTGCCTGAGGGACAGGTACTGGTCAGCTTGTTGGGCTCCCTTCCTGGAGAACACCTGGCTAGGGGAGGCCTCAATCCAGCAGGACTGTAGTAAAAAAGTGGCAGACGGCTGGGCGGTAGTAACACACGCCTGTAATCCCAGCACTCGGGAGGCAGAGGCAGGCGGATCTCTGTGAGTTCAAGGCCAGCCTGATCTACAGAGCGAGTTCCAGGACAGCCAAGGCTACACAGAGAAACCTTGTCTTGAAAAAAAAAAGTGACAGCCTACTGGGGTGCTGTGGGCATCGTGCAAGGAGGTGCTGTCTACAGGGAGGGGGCAGCTTCCAGAAGGCTCATCTGTGCGGCAGGCAAGAACACCACTGGGGCATAAAAGCTCAGAGGCGAGGAAAAGTGGGTTCCAAGATGGGAACACAGCAGGACATGGGACACGCCTACAAACCAGGCAGTAGGGAGTGTTGCCAAGCGCTCAGGAAATGCCCAGAGATGCCCAGAGAATGGCCAGGCCTCAGATAATCTGGGCAAGGGTCCTCCAGAAGTGAATTTAAAAAAAAAAAAAAAAAAACACGTGTGTGTGGGGGGGTTCTTGTGAACTTCCAGACCTGTGTCTCTTAGCCCTGCAGGGCGGGACTGCAGGATCCCCTTCCATGTGCCAGACACCCCAACACCGGTGCTAGGGTTAGAATGAGGGTGGGGGTTTCTCGTCAAACATTCTCTCACCCCCACCCCATCCAACCTCAGCTCTGGTGCCCAGGTCCTTTCTGCCTTAAACTTTTTGCAGTCTATCCAGAGCCTCTGCCCAGGCCCCTTCTACATTTTCCTGAGGGCCAACTCCATGTCTTGATTCTGAGAAGGGTTCTCTGGGTCCTTCGGAAGCCACAGCAGGCAGCACGGCACAGGGATTAGGCCACGTTGTAGCATCCATCAGAGTGAGACCCAAACTGAACTCTGATTTTTGCTAGTTGATGAGATCTGTGGCAAATGTCTGCACTTCTCCCCAGACCTCAGTTTGCTCATCTGCGAAGTGGAGATGGTGATGGTGCGGATGTTAAGAGGCTGTGGGGAGGCCACAGGGCCCTGACTGAGCACTCACTGTGGGCTCTCTACCCACGCAACCATCTCTGCCACTCGCCTGCCCTGGGGGATTTCTTTTTCCCACGGCAGACACTGTCTCTGGCCTGTCAGACCAGGACATCCGGGACTCTGAGGAAGTATTGGAATAGTTCTGTGGATCTGAGGACCAACCAGGAAACCAGAAGAGGAAGCAGAACCTCCAAACTGAGCCATGCAAATGGTAAGCAAAGACGGATGAAGTCCCCCACCAGATCCAGACTACCACATCCCAGCGTCCCAACGTAGGCAAATCCTCCTGCCTCCGGACCTGGGGAGAACAAACACCCCCTGAAAATAAGCTTTCTGTGAGCTGTTCCGCCCACGCCCCTAGACAGTGATGTATCATGAAACGGGAATGGTACCGTAGCACCTGTGAATCACGCCACCTTTCTTTTCCTGACCACCTACACTGTGCCACAGACAGAGCAGGCATGAGTTACCGGGTGGAAGACACTGACCCAACGTCGGTGCAAAGAGGGGGTCCTGGAAGATGACACACGCTGTGAAAAGCCAATGGTGCTGGGAGAGACAGCTGGCCAGCCCACACTAAGTTGCTTAGGGTCTCCAAAGAAGGGACTTGAGTTATGTGAGGCAAAGAGTATTCCAGAAAGATGAGATAGTATCGCCAAGGTCTAGGTGTAAGAATGAGCTTGCCAAGGAGCTAGACCCTGGATGGAGCTGGGTATCAGGACGCAGGTTCCGTGGCCCTGGATGCTGGGATGGTAAACCGAGTTCAGAAGAATCTTCACTACAGATTCATGACCACACCCCCGAATGTTAGCCTTGGTGATGCCAGGATGCCTCAAGGTATCTGTGAGCCCTTTCATAACCACTGTCACATCTGCCTTCGGACCAGGTGGAATCCACTGCCTCAGACAGACAGGGCAATTTGCTGTGCTGGGCTCTTTTCTCATCTCATCCACTGTGCTGGCTAGTGGCTCGCCAGTGTTGCTGGATGGCCATGGGATTAACACCTGTAATGAGCTCCTGCCCTCGGTGACAGCACAAACACCAGCCCCTATCCAACAGGCCCATCAGCCCTGAGCTGACAGCCCCTGCTGAAGGAGCCAGTACAGCAGAAACCCATAAAGACAGCTTTGGAGGCCCATGCCACAACCGGCTATTGTCCTCACAGCTGCCCCCCCAACAACCCCAGGCCAAGTTCTTGAGGGAGATGAGAAGTCACCCCAGCAGGTGCTTTGGCATCTACAAGAGGAATATGGAAGCTGGGGGGGGGGGGTAAGGAGCTTGTTTAGGCCACCGGGGGCAGGCAGAACTACAGGGAAGTCATGCTCTCAGCAGCCCAGGGGAACAAGCAGGACTTTCCTTTCTCCCTAGCTGGGGCTGAACCCCAACCCCAAGCATCCGGTGCTGAGTGTCCTGTATCCTGAAGTTCCCTGGAGAGGTAGCTCAGCAGTAAGGGCACTCGCTGCTCTTGTAGAGCAGATCCAAGCTTGGTTCCCAGCACCCACACCAAGCAGCTCACAATCACCTGTAATGCCAGCTCCGGAGGATCCAGCACCTCTGGACTCTTTGGGCACCTGCACTCGCTCACACACACATGCTCACACACATACACACGATATAAAATTAAATGGGTGTTTAAAGTCCCATAAGCCACTCGGACGGGGGCCGCTACCATCTTGCTGGTGTCTTCAGGGGTCTGGAACAGCAGCATGTGTGCTCACTACCGTCAGGCCGAGAAGAAGAAAAGGGTGGTTGCACTCACCCCTTCTAAAACCAAGGCCTTGAGGGGTCTGAAGAGATTGCCTGAGGCTACAAGCCTCCTGCTAGGTAAGGCACCACCTCTGTGGGACAGCAGAGGGACAGAGAAAAAGATGGGCAATTAGTGTCGTGGAGGAGCAGAGTAACTGGCTGAGTTTACACAGCTAAGAGGTGGCAAAGGCAGGATGCAAAGCCAGGGAGTCTAGGTTCTGAACTCTGCACACACTGAGAAAGCCAATGCATGTCTTTAAGTGAAAACTCAGCTACGGGGATTTTGCTTGATGAAGCTTACATTTCCAGTTGCTGGTGATCTTGAGCCCTGACGTGTCTGTGCCATCTGCCCAGCCTCTTCAAGAAAATGGACACTCCTGGGTAGAGTCTTTCAGGCCCTCTGTGGTAAGCTCCTGTCCTGTTTCCGTTTTCTCCTTCTTCCAATGTCCATCCTGTTTGTCTTTCTGAGTGAGGATTGATCATCTTACCCAGGGTCCTCCTTCTTGCTTAGCTTCTTTAGGTGTACAGATTTTAGTTTGTTTATCCTATATTATATGTCTAGTATCCACTTATAAGTGAGTATATACCGTGTGTGTCTTTCTGCTGAGACTCATAACCAAACTTTGGGCAGAGTGCAGGGAATCTTAGGAAAGAAGGGGGAAGATAGTAAGACGTGGAAAGGACAGGAGCTCCACAAGGAAAGCAACAGAACCGAAATATCTGGGCACAGGGGTCTTTTCTGAGACTGATGCTCCAACCAAGGACCATGCATGGAGATAACCTAAGACCCCTGCACAGATGTAGCCCATGGTAGCTCAGTATCCAAGTGGGTTCCCTAGTAAAGGGAACAGGGACTGTCTCTGACATGAACTCAGTGGCCTGCTCTTTGACCACCACCACCCTCAGAGGGGGGAGCAGCCTTGCCAGGCCACAGAGGAAGACAATACAGCCTGATGAGACCTGATAAGCTAGGGTCAGATGGAAGAAGAAGAGGACCTCCCCTATCAGTGGACTTGGAGCGGGGCATGGGAGAAGATGAAGGATTGGGAAGGAATGAGGAAGGGGGATACACCTGGGATACAAAGTGAATAAACTGTAATTAATATAAAAAATAAAAATTTAATAAATTAAGAAATAAGAAATAAGAAAATAGACACTCTTATTAACCAGAGAGAGGACACTCTGGGTCCTGACTTTCTAGCCTGAGGGATGGATAGAAGTGTGACCTGGGTGTTAAGCCACCCCTCTGGCCAGCCCCTGAAATGATGGACAAGCTGGTCTTGTTGGGAGGTCAATGTGGGTGACGCTTTGTCTCACATTGTCATGACGCAAATGTGAGACACACGTGAGCCTGCCCAGCCAACATTTTTTTCTTCTGCCATGCTCTCTTCCTTACAGGCACCAGAGCCCAGGACCGTGGTCTGCTGCTGGCAGCCCCACCTCGGTGTCAGCAGCACCCCTCTCCAGGGCCTGCCGATCCACAGCTTCCTCACCCTTTTTCCTCAGTGCGCCCTGGCTCTAAGGAGACAATGAAGGTCTTCTCTCTGGAAGAGCTTGATGTCCTCAGGGCCCAGGGCAGAGCTTCTGGTATGCTGGGCTCCCTGGCATATTGCAGTCATGTTGGTTCAAGCTCTGGAGAGTTAGGACCTGGGGCTAGAGAGATGGTCACCAGCACTGACGGCTTCTCCAAAGGATCAAGTTTCAGTTCCCAACACTCACATACATCTCACAACCACCTGTATCTCTAGTTCCATGGATCCAACAACATCTTCTGGCCTCCCTGGGCACCAGACATGCGCATGGTACACAGACAGACACACGTCCAGACAAAACGCCCATACACAACAATTTAGAAAATGAAGAGCTGAGGAAGACCATAGAGGACCAGTGGAGGAGCCCCTCAGTGAGCTACAGAGAGGAGAGCAGGCATGGGCCCACTCAGCCTACTGGGTCAGGTCAGCCTGAACTCCATGCCTACCCCTGCATGTTAATTTGGTTAATTTTGGCCCAATGACTCAGTGACATCAGCTGTTCCTTATGACCTGTGGCAGGAACCCCACTGGCTCCGAGGAAGGGCTGACAGAAGAGAGGAGTAGCACGATACCTTTTGCAAAAGCCAGGAAGCAAGACCTGGCTTCTTCAGCTCCTGATGCCCAACCCTGGGGTCCCCGCTTGGAGA